CAGCTGGAGCCTTTCTGATCCCTGGGAATGCAGATTCCTGGAAAGCAGCTGAGGGTCATGCTGACTGCTGCCAGTGAATAGCTCTGCCATTACCAGCTGCCTTTAAACTTTGCCCTAAACCTTCTCCTCAAGTGCACTCAAGGGCAGGGAAGGGAGAGACATTCACTGCAGGGGGGTGTGAACTGACACGTATTTTGGTGAGGTGCTGGTTGCAGGGGTTTACTAGAGGAGAAATCTTCAAAGTCTTGGGAGAGAAAACGTTAACATTAGTTTGAGTTAATCCCTGTTCTGTGTGTAACACTGTGCACTGTGTTTTGGACTTTGAATAGACCCTTTGAAGGAGGCAGAGCTGTGCAGCTGACAGTGGGGTCTTGGTGCTTGGAAGGCTTGGAGCTTGAATATGCTCCCATTTTCTGGCAATTCAGGGAACTGTGTTTGGGAGTTTACCTCTCTAAAGAACCTATAACTCTGCTGCTTAACTGTAGTTCCTTATCTGTGGTGTCCCTGTGTTCTGCATAACTCACTGATGTGCTCCAGAGCCTGTGACTTTGCAGCAGATGTGACTTTGCAGCAACTTCAGGGTTGCACATAGTGGTCTCTTCTGCATGTGAATACCTCGATCTCTCCTTTAGGGTGATAGGTTTGAAAGACCACTCTAACCCCTCTTTCTGTTTGCCAGCCTTTGAAGGGAAACTCTTTTAGTTACTGCACTGGTGTCCCCACATAACTTGTGAGATGGCTTAAGTTTCTGTGCTAATGCTACAGTATCTGACAGTGTGAAGAAGTGTAAGATGGTGAGGAGTAGTTTCTGTAGTTTATCCTTAAGAACCAGCAGACCTACTGATACCTCAGGTACCATTAATTCTTGATTGGGGCATGCCAAGCTTGTCAGAGGAGCCATCTGCTACTTGGCTCTGCATGTATTTATTTATTTATTAGTGAGGTGAATCCCGACACCTCACATGGAAAAACTGTTAGGGGAACGATGTTTTTTATTTAGCTTCCTGCAGAAGATCTTGCCAAGAAGGACAGTTTAGCTTTTGTTGTTGATTACTTCTCGTGATACTCTGCATCATGAAGTGTTTCTTTTTATATTATGTTCGCTGACTGGTTTCTAACTAATTTATCTTGATATTTGCTACTTGAAGTGACATACAAAGAAGCTGTCATCACCAGCTGTGCAGAAGATGTGTGAAAAAACCAATACTAAGTATGAAGAAGGAAGCAAAAATGTCTCTGCTGCCCTGCTGAATTTGTCTTTCAGTGCTGTTTTTTGCCATCTTTCTCACTTGGCTCAACGTGCTTAAATACTCTGAAAGAGAAACATTTTGCTGGCTGCCTCTTGCACAGTCTCCAGGTGCACAGGCCAATGCCCAGTTTCCTGTGATGCAGAAATAAGTCAGTTGATTACATTTCTATTGCTTTTCTGAAACCTGTAATCTTTGGGCTCTACTAAGATTTAAGGCATATCAGGACAGGTTACTTCTATGTGTCAGAATGGTTTAGACTGGAAAATAAATGCTCAGCCCCGATCACAAATAATTTACTGTTCTCTTAAGAGGGGAGAATAGGGAGCAAGCTATTACCATGGAAAATTTCACTGCAATTTCCTTTTGCATAAGCTTAAATTCTGAGTAGAGAGGTTGTCAATTAGTGTGCAGATTTTTTTAATTGGCTATAATAAAAAGCTAATTGGTGTTTTGCTTAAAGAGTGAATTAAGAAAGTGTTGCTATAGAAACTTTACATGTGTGTAGTGCTGCTCTACATAACAGTGAATATAATAGTCTAATGACCTTTCTGAGCCAGCTGTAAAGTCAAAGAAAAAGTGTTAAATTCAGGCTGGCTGCAGAGATCATTAAGGAGTTTGTGACTTCACCCATTTCATTGCCAGAAAGTGTCTCTGGCATTGTCTCGTGGAATGTTTCTCTTGACTCAGTGTCAAGCCACATAACAAATGCTGGTCTCAAAAGACCTGAACTTTTGTAAAATCCGAGTGCTCCAATTGTCAATGTGTAAACCGATCTGTAATCTGTCAAGCAGTAAAATGTACTACTGGGAAAAATTCATTCTCATAATCTGAGGGAGTGTGATGATGGATCGGAAGTGGCAACATCAGTGAGCTGTTGGATCCCTCCCTCATCTTCCTGCCTTCTGTACCCACTGAATTCTGAGCCTCATGTGAAACACGGGAATTGCAATTTTAAGTGAAACGGGATTTCTGCTCCAATTTGCCATATTCTCTCCCAGCAAAAATAGTTACTTTCTCAAATATAAACTTTGCTGAGGAGAGAGTAATTCCTTCAGAATTTGTGAAACAGGAATTTCTTTCCTTGGGCTAATGCTTCCCCACTGAAATTACTCCAGAGTCATTATCTGTAAATTTGCTAGCTACTTAAAAATTAGATACACGTGGCATGAACAAAAATTTTGAAGCTTATGATGAACATAGTCATTCCTGCCCAGGAAGGTGATCAGTAATGAAATAAGTGACTCTATCTGCTAAGAAGGAAAACTGAAACATGACGTTGCTTTTCAGTTCCCTGATCCTGAATCTTGTTGTTTTCCATTTTTAACTGCATATCCAGAAGATGCAGGCGTATGAGAGCCTGCAGTTACTAGTCATGGTGGCTGAAAAACCTTAATGTGTTCTGCATGTTTTAAACACTGTCTAAATGCAAGAGACTGGATGAAACTGCAGTCTTTTGGTGTTTTGGGGAATTGTTCACTGTGTTCTTTTTTTACTTTGGTTTTCAATTAAACAAACAAACAAGCCCCCATTCTGTGTCTGCTAAATTTCTTCCCTCCCCATGTTTATTCTTCAGACTGGTAAAACAAAAACATATTGGAGTGTGATTAGTGTATGATTTGAGGTGTTTTTCCCCTCACATTTTTCTCTTCAGTAAATGCTTGGAAAAAAAAAAATCAAAGCCTTCTAAGTGGGTGAATTTAGAAGAATCTCTCAGAATTCTGTGGAATTATACAGATGGCTACTTTCTGTACCTCTGGGTCACGACTGAGTAGTACCATAATTTAGCAGATATTCTTCCCTTGATGCACATATGTAAGCCCTATTAGTGTTAATGCCTTTTTGAAATGCTTCCCTCATATATTCAATAACTACTACTATGTCCAGACCCTGAAGTCTTACGAGTTGCGTGGCATGTGACTATCTCTAGAGCTTAATAGAAAGTTGGATTTAATCTCATAGTTCATCTTTTGAGCAGTAAAACTGTAAGAAAGATAAAATGTTTTAACGTGAAGCTTTTATCTGAGACCTGTGAGCAAATAAGTCTTTTTTCTGGTCCAGTGAAAATGACTGGGTATTTCTGGGTTTGTTTTTTTTTTTTTTTCCCCAGCTTCCTTTAGTCTTGCCCAGTAAGACCATAACTGTAATTTCTGCTTACAGAAGCATTATACTCTCAAGGTGTTGATTTGCAGAGAAGGAGTAGAATATTGCATTTATGACTGTCAAGGAAATGCGACTTTTGGAACTCAGTAAATCCATCATTACTTCATTTTGAATTTTTGTTGCTTCACTGCAGTTCATTTTCGACTGTCTTTGTGAAAATGGGTCTGGCTCTTGGAAGGGCAAAACATGAATTTCCTTTAGGACTGTTATTTTTCTCTTAGTTTTAGTTGACTGTACAAAGATCTGAGCTTCCTGATCTAATGTTGAATGAACTTTGACTCTTCAAGGTTACCTTGAACTTTTTTTTTTTTTTTTTAAGATAATTTATCTCCAGATGAAAAATCTTTCTTTTATGGCTTTTATTCCACCCATTATTTAAAGGTGAACTTTGGTCAGACCTCTGAATGCATACCTAGGAAAAGGTGTCGAAGCCAGTTAATCCCTCACCCAAACCCTTTCCATCTCCCAAACACTCCTTCCCACCTTCCTACCTGCACAAGAGGAAACCTGTTGCAACATGGGTGCTACAGCCCTTATGATGGCTCAGTAAAATGTGTATTAAAACCAGCTGTCTTGGAGATGGAAACTGCACTCCTGCTAGTTCAGTGCATAATTTGCTTACTGAGATTAGTGCTGGCTGTGGTCCTACAGAAGGAGTACTGGAGGAGCTCAGTGGGTTCTGCATCCTGGATATTGAAAAGCAGTCAGAGAATCACAGAATCAGTGAGGTTGGAAAAGACCTCTGAGATCATCAAGTCCATCCTATGACCAAACACCACCATGTGAACTAGACCATGGCACTGAGGGCCTCATCCAGTCTTTTCTTAAACAGTCACAGTGCATTTCTCTCTTTTTTATTTATTTTTTTTTTTTTTTAAATATTACTTCTTTACTGCCCAGGTATGTTTGTCATTACAGAAAGTTACGACAAAACTTGATTACTGTGGATCCTTTCTTCTTTTTTTTTTTTTTTTTTTAAATAATTTATGCAGTGCAGCAGTGGAGGCTTATTAGTGGAGTTATCTGTGGAATCTTTATAATAAGCTTTGATTGGTACTGAATTTCAGTGATATACACAGGGAATGCTTAAATGTGTACTGAGCTACCTTGTTTTGCTTGGGGAAGGAGCACATTGGTACCTTCTGAATTTCATTAAAGAAGAAGAGAGATTTATATGGATGATAATGAGATTGCTAGTGGGAAATAGATGAAAATTTGAATTTTTTTTTTTTTTGTAATAAGAACACTTCTAGTTTAATGATGGATAATCAAGGCAATAGTTTATTGCACAGTGTTTTGTATTGGAGTAGAAGAGCTACCACAAGTTCCCTGAATGGGAATCTGCTGCTTCATGAACCAGACCTTGCTGGTTGCAAGGACATTGATTTTAACATTTGAGGCAGTCATTTTGTTTCTTTAGATAAGAAAAATACTTCATAAGGACCATCATGTTTAAAAATATGTTCAACTTTGCTGCTGTGTCAGGAAAATGAGTCTTCTATTTATATTTGTAAGTTACATAATCGAAAATGATTAGTTTTCTCTTTCAAAGAGTTGTATTATGAAGTGTTATGTGTTTCTCTTTTGCAGAGAATTTGTGTAGAGGCCAGATTGAAAATATGCCTTCGTGACAAAGTCTCTACAAAGCTGATCCCATCTTGGCTTTAAGGTAAATTAAAAAAAAAATAAATGTATCAAACACCTCTTCTGACTTTTCTTACCTTGAATATTATTGAGCCTGAAAGAAATGTGAGGATACTGTGTTCTCAAGGAAAGAAAGCATTTCAAGGAGTTAAGTTGCAAAACTTATAATTTAGTCAAAATAAAGTGCAGGCATGAGCCAGAAATTTGGGTTAGGCTTCAGTAATTAAACAAAATGACAGACAGTGGCGTGAACGCTTATGTGTCTTACACAGTCCTTGGCAAGCATCTGGTTTTGTCTAAAAATTGAATATGCATATGAAGGAGAGATCATTCTAATTGAATGGAAAATATGAAATTACAAAGGCAACAAAGTATAAATAATTGAAAATCAGGTTGCAACTCAGCTTCTGTATGTTGTGAGCTCAGTTGCAAACAAAATTGCTGGAATGGGAGTTCACAGTTTTGTTCTTAATTTTACTTTCATGGTACCATACTCGTGGTATAGAGAGCAAGGCAGTGAAAATGATGAAGGGGTAATTAAATAGCTGTAGGAAAGTAAGACCCAAACCAGAGTCTAATTTTCAGCACTCTGCAGCTTTCATTATATATGTATATGCTTTGATTTCTCATGTATATGGAAAAGGTATCCTCTAACACTGCATGTTTTTAGTCTCTCTCCTCCAGAATTGTTTCATGGTAAGATGTGGCAAGCTTGTTTCGTTTGTGAAATCATTGCAGAAAAGAATTATTAAAATAACTTTGTGAACAGTTAGTTACTTGTGAGCAGTCCTTTATCATGACCATACCCTGTTTGACTGTTCGGCATCTCTTGTTCGTTCGGTGAAATCACTCAGAATGGGCAATTGTCAGTGTTTTAAACTTTTTGGCTCCACTTGCCCTGCTGTGTCTGTGGGTGAAGGCACCAGTGAGATTTCTGTGCTCAAAAGCGTTATTTTCAAGCAGAGCTTTCTTCAAATTTAACCAATATTGTTAGACATAATAGAAACCATATGCTACTTCATATCCCAGTAGTAGGGTTGTGATGCTGGCAAGTGCCATGGAACCAAGTTCCAGGAGCACAATAATTTTGAAATATTCACTGTAAAAATATGTTCAGTTCTGTATTTGGTTTAAGGCCCAGGATTTGCCCTTAAGCATTGAGTACTTGTAGAAGCAAATCAGATTCAACAGTTTTACTGTTAAAAGGAGACCAAAGTAAAGCTGTTTGTAATACTTCCAAAAAGGAGTGCTCACAGCAACCCACAGCTGGAGAAGAGTGTTGTTTTGGTTTATATTTTGTTCTGACACTGTATCATGGGCTTGGTTGTACTCCCTTTAGGATGGGAATTATGGTCCTCCTCTTCTAAGGACTTTTTGAGAATTGGAAGTTTTCACTGAGGACTGTGGAATTATTTAAATAATTTGCTATTAATACTTTACTGATTTGAACAGTATTTAAATGCACATGTTACTGTAGTAAGACTTCAGACAAGTGTGTATTAAAACTTAAAATTTGAGACACTTGGAAAACACCCAAGGACTTGCAGATGACCAGAATGTCTTATTCTTAGCAAATACTGAACTCCTCTAAATTCCTGTCATGGTATTGATGCAGTGTAGAGATTGGTCAATATTGCATTTTTCTAATTAGCAAATAGGCATGAGTATACTTATTATGTTAAAGTAATTATAAAATAAAATTTGAAGGGGGAGTACATAAAATCCTTTTTCTTGTGCTATATGTTTTGAATGCAAATTACAGAAGTTTGTCTCTATATGAGAAGAGAATCATCAATTTTGACCTGTGTGGACACAACCAGAGGAAAATTTTGTGAAACATGAGTCTGTAAAAATGCTTCTGTGCTGTAAGGAGCAAGCAGTAGTAGTCTAGATGTTTCCTTCTGTGCTGTAAAATTATCTCTATGATCTAGTTTATTGACATCAGAGTTGTTTCTTTACACTGCATGTGCTTTGTGCTTACAGCAAAAGACTCTCTCTAGTCCTCAAGATTCCGGTGATGGAAAAGTTTTCAGGACTCTTGGAAAACTGCCCAACAGTTAACACTGTTGGAAAACATTTGCCCTGTTTATTTCTTCCATTTGTCTGAATCAGCTGGAAACATTGAAATTAGCTCTTTTTTTCCTGCTTACCTGCACAACCTTATGCTGTGACATTTCTGATCCTGCTGTAGGTGTTTTGATAGCTGGTTAATGACACCTGAGCTTCCACTTGAATATCAATTTAAGCTCTTTTAGCCTTTTCTTTGCCCTTACATACATCCTTATGTTTTCGGGCCTTGTGGATGGTCCTTGTCCTAATAATCTCTAATCAAGATCCTTCTCCATTGGCGGTTAACAGACATGAAAACTTGTTCACATCGTGGTCTCAAAAGTGAAAAAGAGACAAATCAGGTTTTCTAGTTGTGTGTTTAGGTGAGACCTCTGGGAATCTTGGGTTTCCCTATTGCAGAATTGTGGGGTTTGCAATATTTGATGTTATTTTAGAGCTTTGAAATAAGCTTTTCAATGTGTTAATATTTTTCTTCACTTGAGGAGTTCTATGAAACTTCAGTCTCATGCAAACTGTAAAGATAACAAGACTGAAATACCAGGGATGTATTACAGGGGTTTCTGATGGCAGCACTAATGTGATACTAGAATGAACTTTGGCTGCAGGAGCCATATCTTCCCCTCTGTCCTCAGCCATTTCCCTTCCCCTTGGGTGCCATGTGAGAGCTGCTCTGGTTGAAGTTAACCTGGGGCTGGCAGGGGGGAGAATCTTCATCTTCACTTCCATTGCCCAGCTCACTTTATGGCTGCAGGACTGCCCTGCTGGTGCCTGCAAGTGGAAGGTGCTTTGTGGCTTGAGCATGGGCAGGCAGGGAGACTTCTGCTTCAGGGGTGGGGTATTAAGGGCACCTCCAGTGGTTGAGGTACTGCTTTGTTTCCATGGAATACGTTAAAGATACAACACATTTCTGCCTCTGAGATCAACTGATTTTTATTTATCTTGACAAGGTTTAGAATAGCATTTCCTCGTGTTGAATGCCATTCTTATGGAGTTAAAAAGCTGTCATGTCTTGCTTTATTTTTTACAAACTCAAAGGGCACTTTAGTACTGTCAGCGTGAGATCATCGCTGTCTAATAATAGACACTTTAGAAGATTTCCATTAATGCTGACTTTTAACAGAGCCCTGTTCCTATTAGAACTGCACCTTACAATCATGCTGTATCTTTCACTACAAAACAATTATCTGAATTGTGTCAATTGACTAAAATCTATTAGCTATTAAAACTCAGAATGTTGCTTCTGCTGGGAAAGAAAGTCATCTTGTTTAACTTCCCCCTCTCCTTCCTACATCTATGAGAGTGGGAGCCTGTGTGAGGGAGGAAAGAAAGGGAGCCTGATGGTGCTTAATGGCTGATGAATACAGCCAAGGATACAGGAGTGGTTGCCTGGCAACGGGGGAGGATGGGCTGAGGTCCCTTGTCACTACACAGGAGTTGACATTGGCTCATCTCTGGAGCTCATGAAGGCTGACTTATGCAGTTTGCATTCTTTATTCTCCATATGTATCATAGCTGGGTTAGATTTGTATCTTACATGTTTTGTCTCCGTGTATTTCTTACTTTTTAAAAGAAACACAAGAAGAATGGAAGCAAATCAAGCGTTTTAGTTAAAGGAAGAAAACATGTGCGTCCTGTCCTATGCGGGCTTTCAAGGCGACAGCCATGTTTAGAAAGAGACTTACCTAAAATTTTGAGCTCTTAGACCTAGTTCCATGTGTAAAGTCATGTTTTCTTAGTCTGGGAGCCCTCTGAAAATTATCATTACTGCTGACAGACAGTGAGCTGGGGTTTATGTTATAATTGCAGCCTCTAGAAGGTTGCCTTTTCATGGTAAAACACAGTTCTGAAGTGACACTTACTACTGAAATAATACCAGGCTGCTAACAAAGTGTGTACACTGAGGAGTGGGACAGAGTTGACCCTGTACAAGTTGTTCTTAGACAATTCAAATGGATTTTGAACATACAGGTGTCTGTATGAGCTGTGGCTCTATCTTTGTGCTGCAGGAGAGTTGTATGGAGGTTCTTCCTTAGGGAGATGATGGAGAGCCTGTGTTAGTTTGGTGTTTTCTAGAAGACCTTTATGGAAAAGTACATGGACATTACTACATGGAGGTTGTTATCATTAAGTGAATATTAATCCAGTAACTTTTTTTCTTTTCTATGGACATAATATTAAGAAGAAAGTTGCAACTGGCTTGCAGACCCAGGCTGTGCAGTCCAGCAGGCTGTGTATTTTGGATATTGCCAGAGGCAGTAATTTCCTTTGCCCTTTTAGCTCTCAAAAACGACCCTGGTGCCTAATGGTAAGGTCAAAACTGTAGGAAACAGGTTGGGATCTTGTTTTGAACTGTTGGACAGGAGGTCTATGTAACCTTTTTGTGCTTGTTTCTTCCACTAGACAAAAATGAGGTTAAGTGTGCAATTTTATCATCTTGAGGATTTTTAAAAGTGAAAAACCACACCTCTCTCTTACTAGAAAGAGCAATTCTTATTTGCCAGTGCTTGCTTCCCTTTTTGCTTGTCGAGTTCAATGCTTTTGTCATTAAGGCTGAAACTTGGCCTACTGTGAAACCTTCCCAGCTGTCAAAATACGGAGTGTTTGTATGGAAATGTATTGATGGAATTTGCAAAGAAACCCATTATGTTTTCTGGATGGTTTGTAATTATCAGACTTCGAATAATCCAAACATAAATCAGTGTTTTCATCTGCACAGTCTGTTCACTCTCTCTGTCCCCCATGCAAACACACAGAGGCCAGACAGCAGCAGCCAGCTGTGAGGAGTTGCTTCCTTGTAACTGGAGATCCTCAGAAAATCAGGTGAAAGGTTTGAAATGTTTCAATTTGGATAGGCAAAGCCTTGAGGCAATTGTCATTAACAAAATGGTCTTTCTCCTTCATTCTTCCTGTTGTAAGCTGTAGCTTCTGACTTACTATTTATCTTTTTAATGGTGT